CTAGTAGGGCAGCTCCCTGATCTAGTAACTCTCAGTAACATTGGTTCCTTTCCGTCCAGGGATAACAAAAACTTCACTTCCACACTAACTACAATATCTAACTTCACTGAGATTTCCAATTCCATTGTAATTTGTGTCTTAACCTGGAAAACTGCAGGGCAATAGTTAAATACAGTTTAATGCTGACAACTGTGCCATTTCCAAGCACCATCTCAAATGCGAAGTGTGATGTGATTTAGCTTTCACACACAACACTACTTTCACACGATGGTCAAGTTACACATGCAATTGCACCGTACTGCTTTGAATCAGATCCTGCAGTGGCTGAACCAATGCCTCAAGTCAACAATATTGGGCTTCTTGGATTTCTTCTCACTGGGAATTATTTTAAAGTTGATTCACTAGTTTTAAAAAGTCTGAATTTGGCTACTAGCCAGATTTCACTTACAAGTCACATGAATAAAATTCATGATGTAATTAAGTGAACCCTCACACAACAGATCTAAAGTTTACATCAAACACGCATACAAGGCAGTACAGTGCTTCAATTAAAATGATACACATTTCAGTGATGCATAATTCAGGCACCAAATCCATGCTCATTTCCAGTACCTGCAGATACTTCATTTCTGATGGAGAGTTCCAAGAAAGTAAGAAAAAAGCAAAAGTGAAGATTACTAAAGTTCAAGATATCAAGGTATTTTCACAGCTACAGAACTAAGCATTAAAACCAATAACCCTCTCTCCCCTTGTTACAACATCTGAAGAAACCCCCACTTGACTGCATAGCTTATTCAATATTTATCAGAAGATAGAACACTGTGAAGGAAAGTGACTGGCTTCCCACCCAATCTACTCCTCACTTTGGTTCTGTTTCATGATAAAGGAAATCTGCTTCTCTCCAACCTGCTTGTATTAGGTCCTAGTCACAGCCCAGGAGGGCTGCATCACTCTAGTCTCACCAGAGAAAGACTCCACTACCGTGGGCATCAATCCCTCAAACCCCAAGGCATTCTACCTTATTTCTATTAATACACAGTCCTCACTGCCTACACCACACATCCTCACCAAACTTACCTGGGTAAGTAACACCATACCAACAGTAACTCCGTGGAGTAAGCATTAGGGGTTTAGGCAGCCTGAGTGACAAGCGTTAACATTATCTAATGTGTGTATTGTGAGACTGAGTTATGTGATTAGAGCAATAGATTTAGATTTATGTGTTAGATTCATTAAGTTTAATTTTAGTTCAAGTGACACAGGAAACAATAATTTAGGAAGCATTGTTTCATGTCATATCAGCTAGGCTGGCAGCAGTGAGGAGCAAAACTAAGCTACTGAGCTGATGACAAGCTATACAACACACAGTTTACCTTCTGTTATCCAGTAGAACAGGTGAAAAAATGAAAGAAAAATAATGTTATTCTGTTGAAGAATTCCTAATCAACATTTCAAATACATGTGCTCATTCTAGCTTAAAAGATATTCTCATCCTACCTTCTTGCCAGCACCAACATTTGCCTTGGCTGTGCCCCTGACTTTCTTCATTCTGTTCTTACGCTCTTTTCGCTGCTTCCTGGAAGTCTTTTTCTTTTCATACAAGCCGTGCTATTAAAAACAGTTGAAAATTGCTTTTAACATTGTTTCCCTACTAACAATTCTTGAATTTAAGTTCGATGATTTCTCAAATGTACAAATACAGTTTAAATTTCAAATATTAACTAAATAGCAAGATCATTAACTAATGAATGCTTTGACACATAACAAACATTGAAGTAGCACATGGATCAGCCCCATTTCTTACGCTTATTCTAGACCTCCATTAGTGTTTTGTTAGAAGTTACTGCTAAACACTTCTGGTATTACCAGTTTTGCCTTCCCAATTCCCTTGTAACATAGAATAAAAACACACTTAGCCTGTTGTGCAAATGCAGAAGTTAACTTGTGATATTTTAGGAGCTCTGATATAACTGCACTTTCACAAAACTTGAGTTTTTACACATGCAAATCCTGAGTAACTGAACACTTCCAACCTATCCTGCTTTCAGGATACCAGAAAACAACATACCCTGGCAAGCCTGTGCTTTGGTTCGTTTTTCTTTGCATAGTCCAGGGAATCATAGATCATGCCAAAACCGGTTGTCTTGCCACCACCAAAGTGAGTTCTGAAGCCAAAGACGAAAATTACATCAGGGGTTGTCTTGTACATTTTTGCCAGCTTTTCCCTGATTTCTGTTTTGGGGACTGTGGCCTTCCCAGGATGAAGAACATCAATCACCTAAAAAAGAATTTTAACGAGTTGATAAAAGGTCAATACCCAGTACACAGCCCCACCAGGTGCTACAGTCCCACCTTGAGCTCAACACTTAAACTAATCCACTTGAGCAGCACCAACTATTATTCATTTCATACAAAAGCATTCAAAAGTTTCTTGCTTCACTGAGTCATTTAGACTGAAAAATACCTTTAAAAACCATTAAATCCAATAGTAAATCCAATCCTGCCAAGTGTCTCAATAGCACTAAGCCATATTCTCAAGTGCTACACCTACATGTCTTTTAAATACCTCCAGGAAGGATGACTTAACAACTTCCCAGGGCAGTTTATTCCAATGCTTAATAATCCTTTTGGTGCAGAAATTTTCCCCAACATCCAGTCTGGTACAACTTCACCATCAAGATTTACTTTGAGCATACATCAACACACTTAAACCCATAGGCTCCTATAATTCTTAATTTAAGACCCCTAGAGATTTTAAGGGCCCCATATTAATAGAGGCTAAACCTTCTTCCAGCTCAGAACCACCAAACTAATAAAGGCAATCTTCTGTAGTCTTTTACCATCTGCTTGCGCTGCAGAAGTCTGTTGGTCATGAACTTCCTGGTTCTGATAGTCACTGTGTCATTCTGCAAGAGAAAACATTAAATAAAACAAAACAATAGCTACAAATGCAACAGAAACTAAACACATGCATAAATAACGCACAGCAAAAGTCAGGAGCTCAGATACTGACAGTGAGCTCATAACCTAAGTGGGTTGGTCTTGGGCTACAGAGAACACCTTGAGGTAATACAGTGAGAAACTGACAAACTCATCCCCAGCTTCCCAACACCACAGCAACATAAACACCTTCGCTGCTGTCCCACAAAAAGCTGAAGCAGTTTTTAACAAAAAGGCATGGATCTCAGCCTCAAGTACTATAATAATACTACACAAGTTCCCTTCTAAGCCCAAATACTATGGCATTCTAAGCCCATCTCTACGGCTTCCCACCCCTACGGACAAGGGAGCACCCAAGACTCCTAGATGCTCCTGGTTGAAAGGAAAAAGGTCAGTGGGTCCACAAAAGTCTTCCAAGCTATTCCAGTAAACTACACACTTAGCATGGTAGTTGGTTAGTACCTGACCTCAGAGTAAGGACACGGCAGTAGGTTAAGGGTAAAGGGTAAGGTGAAAGGGAAGTGAGCATGTAGAAGAGTGACCACGCACTGCAACAGTAAAGCCTTCCCTAATGTTCAGGTGGAATTTCCTGTGCATCAGTTTCTGCCCTTACCTTGACTACCACTGCCTCGCACCACTAAGCAGAGCCTAGCTCCATCCTCTGACACTTCCTTTCAAATACTGACAGACAATCGCCTTTCTGTCATCTCTTCTTGAGCTGAAGACGTTCGGCTCTCTCAGCCTTTCCTCTTAAGAAAAATGCTCCAGTCCCCCAGTCATCCTCACGGCCCTCCTCTGGAACCCTCCAGGAGCTCCATGTGTGTCCCGGACTGAGAAGCCCAAAACTGAACACTACGGTCCATGAAAAGCCTCACCAGGACTGAGAAAACGAGCAGATCAGCTCCCTCGAGCTGCTGGCCATGCTCTTCCTAACGCAATGTACAAATTTCTCTGAAAACCCTGCATGCCGCTATTTCCACCAAGGCTTTCAGACCAGAACCCCCGCGATAAACGCGGGTGTGACCCACAGCAGCCTCCTAGCAGCCCCAGAGTAGCAACACACTGGTGCCGCGCTATCAGAGCCCAGGGCTGATCTGACCGAGCACGGACACGGCGCACCCGAACACACGGCGCGGCCCTCACCCCGCAGCTCACTGCTACCAGCGGGCACGGACGCGCGGCGGGCCTGCCGCAGGAGCCCAGGCTCGGTGTCCGCCATACCCCCACGGGGGGGTGCAGGCGGGCCGGGCGACCGGGTCGCGGCCGTGCGGGAGCGCGGCGGGGCGCGGATGGCGGAGGCGCGGGGCGGATAGCGGGGCCCGGCCCGGGCACTCACCATGGCGGCGGCAGCAGCTCCGGCGACCGGAAGAGAAAAGGATCGGCGCCACCCCGCGGCCAATCATAAGGCGGCGTAGGGTCCTTCCTGCAGGGGCGGAGTTGTGTGTGGGGCTGTCCATTCCAAAGCCGGACCGGGCCGGAAGCAGACGCAGGCGTGGCTTTAGTGTACCTGATGGGAGGCGGGGCGGAGGCAGCTCCGTGTCCTGCGGCGATCTCGGCCGAACGCAGCTGTGTGCTGGCACTACCGCGGAGTTGGCTCCGCCGTGCGCCCTGGTGATCCAGGGCTGCTGTGAGGACACGCAGAGCCACGGACTGAACGTGGCGGCGCAGCCATGACTGCGGAGTTCCTTAGGGCTCAGGCAGTTGCGTCTCCTCAGCCCTGAGGGGGGACTGCGTTCACGTGCATAGACAGGGAGGTGTGTCCGAGCGGAGCAGGGATCAGCTCCGTGGTGCCGGGTTATAGGCCAAGGGGCGATGGGCAGGCCATGCCCAGGAAGTTCCACCTGCACATGAGAAGCGTTTTCCTTGCTGTTCCCTGACCGCACACGCCCGTAGTGTGGGTACCAGAGGGGCTGTGGGGGCTCCCTCAGCGGGGATACTCCCGGAGCGGCGGTGCCGGCAGGGGGCGCTGCGGGCGGAGGCCGCTCTGACCGCCCCGGCCCGGCCCGGCCCGGCCCGGCCCGGCCCAGCCCCCGCGTGCAGCCGCGCGGGCCCCGCCGCGCCGCCGCCGCCGCCGCGATGGTGAAGGAGCAGTTCAGGGAGACGGATGTGGCCAAGAAAATGTGAGTGGGGGCCGTGCGGTGCCCGCGGGCTGAGGAGGGAAGCAGCAGAACTGCGGAGTGTTGGCGTGGAGGGCCGCGGTGGCAGCTCATGGCACGGCTGCTCCGCTTCTAGGAGCGCTGGCACGGGCTGGGCTCTCCCACACGGGTGGCTGTGCCGGCATCCAGCTGTGGAGATGCCCAGGAAGGTCGATAAGTCCCTCAGATAAAAAACATAAACTCACCGTGAAGCAGCTTTCTTTTTTTGTAGTTATCTTAAAAGAACCTGTTTCAGCAATGTTGTGAATCAACCTAGCCACTTTTGCCTTGTTTTCGAGTACATTGAGTGAGGTCCTGAGAAGGACAACGAAGCTGGTAGAGTCTAGAACACAAGCCCTAGCGGCAGCATCTGGGGGAGCTGGGGTGTTCAGCTTGGAGAAAAGGAGGCGCAGGGGAGACCTTAGCACTCTGTACGCCCACCTGAAGGCAGGGTGTAACCAGCTGGGAATTGGTTTCTTCTCCCAGGCAACCAGTGACAGGATGAGAGGGCACAGCCTTAAGTTACACTAGGGAAGGCTTAGATTGGACATCAGGGAGAATTTCTTCACAGAAAGCATAGTTAGCCATTGAATGACCTGCCCAGGGAGGTGGTGGAGTTACCGTTCCTGGAGGTGTTTAAGGAAAGGCTGGATGTGGCACTCAGTGCCATGGTCTAATTGACAAGGTGGTGTTTGGTCATAGGTTGGGTTCAGTGATCTCCGAGGTTTTTGTCAACCTAATTGGTTCTGTGATACTTGCATGTAGGTATGCTTGTCATTATAAGTCATTTTGCATATACATATATATGCATATATATATATATGTATATATGCGCCCATACATACATCTGTAATTTCCTGTTCTAGAAGCCACATCTGTTTTGGCATGAAATCTCCAGAAGAGATGCGTCAGCAAGCTCACATTCAAGTGGTCAGTAAAAATTTGTATAGTCAGGACAACCATCACTCTCCGCTGCAGTATGGAGTGCTGGACCATCGCATGGTGAGAACTTTTATTTTGTTTTCCAAACTATTTACGGGGAATTGCTGAAGTGGTTAAAAAAAAGTTGGGGTCACTGAAATGTACTGTTTGTCCAAACTAAGTTCAAATGAGTCTTTACTTGAATTTCATAGGCTACTGGCTGCAGTGCCATCTACTTTTTTCTTGCTTTTGGAGGGCAGGAATGCATTCTCTTGGGGCAGGAATTAAGTTACTTTTCTGCCAAACTGCTGGGACACCCAGAGACGTGTCACCAAAATGCCACAATGTTGGTTAGTGGGCTGCAGATCACTTTCAAGAGCTGCATGAGTCCAGTTCATTGGTGTCTGCAGGGGCTGTGTGTGAAAAACATTTTTATTAAGGGTCGCAGTGATTGTAATGCTATTGATGTGCTTCTAATGCTGGAAAAAAGGAGCGGCTCTGCTAATAGCGTTCCTGACTAGCTTATAAACTGTTGTATTTTGTATCTATCCCATCCATTACAGCTAACTTTTTTTTTCTTCTTGTGTGTTCTTTCTCCCAAAGGGAACCAGTGAAAAAGACCGTCCCTGTGAAACCTGTGGGAAAAGTCTGGCTGATTGTTTAGGGCATTATGGGTACATTGACTTAGAACTACCATGTTTTCACGTTGGGTACTTCAAAGCTGTGATAGGCATCCTACAGGTAAACATGATCTAAAAAAGGAAATTGTCAGGAAACAACATGATGCTTGAAAGTTATTGAGAAGGCAAAAATGAGGTTGCGCTATTAATTTGTCTTTATGTACATTTTCTTTTGTAAAATACTTGTATTTAAAGATCAGTCTTAGTGATGTTGTATGTAATCTCAGACCATAAATTTAATCTATTATTTTTCTGCAGTTTGAATTAAATATATGCAGGATAATTTGCCTTTTAGAACATCCCAGTAAGTCAAAGCTCTGTTTGCTTTCTATGATTTTTAAGGCCCTGCAGAGTTTAGCTAAAGATTTGCTTCATTGACAGTATTTTTCTTTTTCTCATGTGCTTTTTAATGTGTATTCCAATATGTGAATTGGTCTTTCAATCAAGACAGTAGTATCTCATTCAAAAAAATGCACTGTGTTGAAGAACTTAAGCTGTAGTTCAAGAGGTTACATCTTCAAATGTATCTCTCAAACAACTGTGTTTATACATGTTTACATTTCAGATGATCTGCAAAACCTGCTGCCGCATCATGCTGTCAGCGGAAGAAAGAAAGCAGTTTTTAGATTACCTAAAACGACCTGGCCTTACATATCTTCAGAAGAGAGGGCTAAAAAAGAAAGTGTCTGAGAAATGCCGAAAGAAAAACACTTGTCCTTACTGTGGGGCCTTTAATGGTGAGTATTGACATGAGCAGTCTGCTCTGATGGTTTTCACCTTGATGGCTGTGATAGGATCCAAATTCTGAATATGCTCGTTCATTGCACAGCTAATGGATGTTCTCTTTGGCCTTCGCTGAGAACCAGGTAATTGCATTTTAGGGCCAGACACATACTTGTTCATATCTCATTTGTGTGGACATAGATATTTTCCTAGTTGCTTGTATTATTTCGTGTTTCAACCAATATTTGATACTTAAATAGTGACCAAGAAACCCCTTCTAACATGGTGTTAAAAATATTGGGAACTATTGGCAGTGATCAATATATTCACGTAAAAGCATTGATAGCATTTGTAATTTGGAGTAAGCATCATTTTTCATCATTGTATTAAATTATCTTTCTTAAGATTATTTCTTCTTCAGGGCAGAGTATTTTTGTTAGAATTTGTATCTGGTTTTCAAAATACATCTTGATTTTTTTCATCTACACTGATCATGTGTTACTGCTGTTTAGGGACTTGGGAGTACTACAGATTCATAGTACATTGTTAATCCATAACTTGAAACTTTTAACTCATGAAAACTGTGGGTTCTTTGTTGACATGTTCAGCAACTCAATAAAAGGAGAGCTGCTGTATCATAAGTATCCTCTCTACACATAGAAGGCATAAACAGTAGGCATTTAGAAAAGTTAAATGATGGGTCAGAATACTTCAGTAAAAAATGAGCATTTGGACTAGTTTGTGGAAGTTTCATGAATAATATTACCTGTGTGACATGACAATACCAGATTTTTCTGATAATTCATTTCCAAAATTACTTCAGAAGATACTGGTACAATACATAAATGGCACTTACTCCTGTTTTTAGTGTGGGAACTTCTGCTTTAGAAATACCTGCTGTGAATAACGTGAAGCTGAATTCAAGTGTGGGCTAAACGACCTACTTTCAGCCTCAGAGGCTGCACCAATATGTAGATAGACCAAGCCATCCATATAAAAAGGTATAGCTTGATTGTCCTTTTGTTGTTCTGTGAGTTCAGGAAACTGGTGAATAAAGCTGATAAAGTTTTATTTTGTTCTTGTGTTCATTGAAGGTTTAGCTTGTTTTGGAACTGTAACTTAAGTTTTGGTGGTGTTTTGTTTTGTTTTTTGGTTTTTTGTGTTGAAATATAATCCAAAGATAATCCATATTTAAATCCTTGCAGGAACTGTGAAGAAGTGTGGTTTGTTGAAAATAATACATGAAAAGTACAAGACAAACAAGAAAGTTGTAGATCCAGTAGTATCTACTTTTCTCCAGTCCTTTGAAACTGCCATTGAATATAACAAAGAAGTAGAGCCCTTACTGGGAAGAGCTCAGGTAAATTTTATTATAACCTAAATTTTTTGCTAGTTTTTTTGCATGAAATAAAACTCCTTAAGGGTTTGCAGTGTATCAGCTAAAGTCTTGTGGTGATACAATAATTTTGTGCATCAAAAGATACCAAAAACTGTTTGTATCAACGTTGACTTGGCTAAATGAGAAATTTAGTTTATTAGCGTGTTGCTTTGTCTATTGATGAAGCATTCTCCATTAACTCCAGAGACGAGAGCAACACAATAAGAAGTAAACACTCATATATAGGGAAAAATTGAAGGAAATAATATATAGCAAGTTAACATCTGAGATACTAAAAGCATTGGTTCAGAATAAATAAACCAAAACATAGTTATGTTTGCACTAATAGTGCTCTATTTGCCTATGAAAAAGGCTATTTCTGAACATCAGTAAAATAGGGGGAGGAGGGAAGCATTGAAACTTGACATGATTGCTTCTTCTCCCCATTTCCCAATGGATTTTGTAGGAAAACTTGAATCCTTTGGTAGTATTGAACCTCTTTAAAAGAATCCCAGCAGAAGACATCCCTCTACTTCTAATGAACCCACAAGCAGGTAAACCTTCAGATTTGATCCTCACACGACTCCTGGTGCCTCCACTGTGCATCAGACCCTCTGTTGTGAGCGATTTGAAGTCTGGCACCAATGAGGACGATTTGACAATGAAACTGACTGAGATCATTTTCCTCAATGATGTAATAAAGAAGGTGAGTCAGCCTTCATGCTCTAAGACTGTTGCCTTCAGAAAGATTTGGGTTCAGTGCTTGCAGTCTGGTGCTGTATTTCTCTGTCATTGGGCATTTTGCTGAAAGATAGGAGAAGCTTACTTCAGATTGAGCTGGCTGACTGACTGCTTGCAGTGTAAGACCTGCTGAAGGTCTGCTGGGGTTCTTATGGGAAATGTTTTTTCATTTCACCTCTGGTCTGTTAAGTCTTTTTCTTATTTTTTTTTCCCCTCTCCCATGACTGTCACACTTTTTGAAGAGTCACATACAATGAAAATATTACACATATTGATTTGTGGGTTTGGTTTTTTTTTCTTGTACACCTTCCTCTTTTTTTGCATCTTTGTGCTTTATTTATTCTATCATCTGGTCTTGAGAAATCAGGTTTCATTTAGCATCGTCATCAAATTGAGACTAAAAGATGATCTGACATTTTATCATTTGTTTAGAAGAGCACTTCTTGCCAGAATAATACTTTTCACACTTTTCAAAACTATTCCTTTGTCAGGCAGACAAAATGAATTGAGTACTGACTCTTCCATGATTGAAAAATTAACTACTGATTTTCCTGTCTGTTAAGTTATATTAGCTTAAGTGGATTGGAAAAAATGTAATTTAAACAAATACCTAATTTTGTGAGCATTTGTTCAAAGCCCATATTAGTCAAAAGATTTTTTTTTTGCTAGATTCCCTTGTGATGGGCCTTATGCTATAGCAATATGCATCCTGTTACAGTTATTTTCCCTTTTTCATTCCAATCAGTGGAAATGTCATTATACTATTTGCAAAGGAAGAGTTGTACTCATAACAGAAAAATTCTTGGCTAGTTTAATACGTATTGTTATATTTATTTTATGAATTGGATGACTGTTTTGTTTAGCATAGGATATCAGGAGCCAAAACACAGATGATTATGGAAGACTGGGATTTTCTTCAACTGCAGTGTGCCCTGTACATTAATAGTGAGCTCTCTGGAATACCCCTCAACATGGCACCTAAAAAGTGGACCAGAGGTTTTGTTCAGAGACTTAAGGGAAAGCAAGGTTTGTCTAAAAAATTGTTTTAATTATTTTCTTACAATTGAACCACAAATCTTTGCTATTGCCAAGTGTCTCTCTGCTACTGTTGTGTTGCACTTCAGTGCTATACCTTAAAAGATGTTCTAATGTGCTGTCTTAACACATAACATCTTGAAAACTGTTTTTATTTAAAGAGTTTTAACTGTTTTGCTTTGTTAGGTCGTTTTAGAGGCAATCTGTCTGGAAAGAGAGTGGATTTTTCTGGCAGAACAGTCATTTCACCTGATCCTAACTTAAGAATAGATGAAGTAGCAGTGCCTATTCATGTTGCTAAAATATTGACCTTTCCTGAAAAGGTAAGTAGTGTAGGACTCAAAAACTTTTTCTATTCTTTTGTTTTTCCCCAAGCCAGTGTTGTTTCTTTATTCACTCTAAAAGGGAGTGAATGTATTGTGTTGTGTTTTAAAAGCCATTCAGCGATGCTTTGCCAGTTCTGTTGCTGCTGGCAAATAAATATCTGTAATATTGAATATAGGCAAGTGCTGACAAGATGTGGTGTAAGGAGTGACATCTCTAGAACTAAGAGTTTTGCTTTGAATTTTTTCAACTCATTCATAGATTGGCATGAAGGAGTGGTTGGGTATTTTTATTTCTAAGTTTCCCTTTCAGATTTTAAATTTAATTTCCCTCTGATACTCTGCTCAAAGATAGGCTGATGTTTTTCTCCTCTATTCCTTTCTGTGAGTTCCCCTCAGCAGCTGGAGGCTGTGGTGGGGGGATTGTCAGTTGAGCCTAAAATTTGAGAACACAAACGCCATCAGTAAAAACAAGTTCCTGTAGCGTGTTCTGTTTGTTTCTGATTGAAGTCTTTGTGCAACAGGTGAACAAAGCAAATATTAATTTTATGAGGAAACTTGTCTGTAATGGTCCTGATGTTCATCCTGGAGCAAACTTCATACAGCAAAGGCACACCCAGATGAAAAGGTATCATGCTTATCTGTAATGATTCAATTTTTTATTTTTCCCATCAACTTGTTCTTGTTGCTGTGTGAAGGCAGTGATGTCTGCAGGGATTAAAATTTATTTTTAGAATATTTCATAAAGGGCAGTAGAAAAAGGAGTTGTCTGTATGTTCTCAGGTTTAGGGTACAATTTTTTTAAATAGTGTCTTGCATTTAAACTAAAATGCACATACTAATGATGTTGAACTGCAATTAGATTTATATTCTTTTATGACTGAGTCTATCTTAGTTGAGATAAAGGTTGTAGTACAGACACAAGTGAAAAAGGTGGTTTTGGGCAAGTCATACTGGCTGCTTTCATGTGAGAGCTAATCTGTAGTCAGTTTATGGGTAGGAAGAAGGGGTAATACATTAGTGAAACTTCTTATACTCTGATACAATTGAAATAAATTCTGTTTATTTACAAATGGACTTTTTTCTGACTTAATGTTCTAATCACTGAAGCTTTGTTGACTAATGTCAAAATACATTCATTGCTTAAAATAGCAGTGACTGATGTTCATTCCACACCAGTTTTGTCTTCTAATTATTGTAATACAAATACTCCAGCATTTAATGGAAAAGTTGGCATTATAAACACAGAGCTAATTTTTAGTTGTCTTTCTGTGTGCTGTCTGTGTATCTTCTTACTGCATTATTATCTCTTCCTATGAAGATTTTTGAAATATGGGAACCGAGAGAAGATGGCCCAGGAGCTGAAGTTTGGTGACATTGTGGAGCGACATCTGATAGATGGTGACATCGTCCTGTTCAACCGGCAGCCCTCTCTGCACAAGCTGAGCATCATGGCTCACATTGTGAGTGCACACAGGCTGGCACAGACAGTGCAGCCTGGAAGATTAGGCACTTGACCTTTATTGCTTGTTTCTGTCACACACAAGCAGAAATAAACAGCTCCTGCTGAAACAGTGTGTGGAGGGATGAATGCAGTGCAGTTGTGCCTGTGCATGGGAATTGATGTGTACCCAGGCAGGATGCTGTGTGCACACTTCTGCCAAGAGCCATAATTGACCTCGCTATCTCTTCTTGTGTGAGCATTTCATTTTTGTGGAGTCGAGGTAGTCTCTACAAAGCACACTGTCTTCTGTGCTTTTTATAAATTCTTCATAATGAAAATTATTAGCTACATTTCTATAATATATTGTGAGTACAATTTCTGTCAATTCCTGGTTGAGCTAAATCCTGCAATCAGGAATTTTGACTCATCTGTAATATAACGATAACATCTGCAAGAAGCCACTGTTTTTTCTTCAGCTGTGCCCAACTGTGCATGCATCTTAATTTTTTCTTTTTTTTTTTTTTTTTTACCTTTTCCAGGCTAGAGTGAAACCTCATAGAACATTCAGGTTCAATGAATGTGTCTGTACACCGTACAATGCAGACTTTGATGGAGATGAGATGAACCTTCACCTTCCTCAGACAGAAGAAGCAAAAGCAGAAGCACTTGTTTTAATGGGGGTGGGTAAAAGGCTCATGTTGGGATTTTGCTGGTGACAGATGGGCTGAGCCCTTTAGTTCTTAACTTGCGTGTGAAATCTGAAATACTGTTGAGATTTACTGGGTAATTTACAACTTTGAAGCTGCCTGGAAACTGCAAAAAGGACTTCAGAATAAATTAGGACTGTTAAACCCTGGTAATCTAATAGCCTTAGGCTTAACATCTGGGAAAATGCCATGTAAATAGATGTCATCAGTATGTTTCTGCCTGACTGTCCTTAGAGATTGCTGCCAGGCTAGGGTAGCTCTTATCAGCAGATCCATCATTTGCTTCTGGTCTGATAGCCTGGGAATTGCAGACAGACAGAACAGCTGGAAATGAGACAGTGATACTGGGCTTGTACTGGAGAAGGCAGCTTCCCAGAGAAGGCAGGAGAGAGTAGGCTCATAGAGCAGGGTCAAAAGGGAGAAGGGATGGTAGATAAATAGGGATCTGATGGCTGCAAGCTTTGGTCTGTGGTGTGAGTCAGTAGCACCAAGATGAGGGTTTACCAATCCATTGCTCCTTTCGAGTTACCAAATGCTGCTCCTACTTCAGATGTACCCGTAGAGTTGTTGGTTGCAGCCTGTAGGAGCTCACTGAACTGACCTGGGAGCTTAAAAAGAACACCCCCAGTGTGTGATTCAGGTATATGTGGGAATGGGCTCAGGCAAAACTGCTCCATAAGTGAGGGTGATTAACTGGAGCAGTAGTTTGAATAAAACATAAGATCATAGGGCTAGAGGTGGCTTGATTGTTACCCATCAGAAGGGACCACACAACTTGTGGTATTCCAGTAGATCCCTGTAGTGACTGTAACATCTCTTGTCCTTTCCCCTGTTCTCAAAGCTAGCTTGTCCTACCAAAACACATCAACTTGTTTGCCACTTCTGCTTTGGAAACAGAATCTGTAATTTCCAGTAACTTTTCTCAGTCTATTCCTTAGCTGTCAATAGATGTGCATGGACTGAAATGAACTGAAACTTCTGGCTTATTTTTTCAATCTTTTTGAAGGAAGCTGTAGTTCGATTTAGAATAAGCTTTGACCATTTCACCATAAAATAAATGTCTTAAAAGGTAGGTTCCATTTTGAATAGCAAATGGACTGTCAGTGTCTTCAAACGCATAATATCTTTTTGTGTCATGCAGACTAAAGCAAACTTGGTAACACCCAGAAATGGAGAACCTCTTATTGCTGCTATTCAAGATTTCCTCACAGGTGTGTATAAGCTTATTTCAGAGTTGTGTGATCTAACAGTCGTTCCTACAGAATCATTTCCCTTTTTCAGAATTTTGTATATTAATTAAAAACTTTCTCCTTTCACAAGTCAAAGTGACATTATTTAATAATGATGCCCAGAGAGTAATTTCTGATGCTGTTTGCCTTTGTAGCTGCAGTTATTACTACCTTTGAGTGTATTTTGCTGTGTTTTTCTGTAAGTGAGTGTTTGAGATCTTTGCATTCAGTAGACAATGTAAATTGCTTATGATTATGGTAGAGGAGTTGATTTTGTCCAATAAACATTAGATTTAGCCTGCAGTATGTACCTTCAATGTCTTTATTTCTTTGGGAAATATTCAATGAACATAAGGAAGAAAGTGTACAAAAATAAATGCTAAGGTCTTATTTCACTGATGAAATAGAGTCTAAGAGCAAGAGAGTAGGCTATAGAAATAGACTGTTCCTAATTTTTAGACATGTAGTGTAGAGCAATTAAAAATAATTCTGGAAAGGATTTGCAGCTAAAGCTGTCTAAACTATTGTTGTTTTGCATAGTAAGTAGCTGACTAGTATTAGAATGAAATAATTGACGCTGAGTAGGCAATAGCTTTTAAATTGAATCTAAATTTAGTCTGTCATAATACTTTTTTCATTCCAGGTGCCTATCTTCTAACATTGAAAGATACTTTTTTTGATCGAGCCAAAGCATGCCAAATTATTGCTTCTATCCTGGTAGGCAAGGATGAAAAGGTCAAAGTTCGTCTTCCACCCCCAGCAATTCTGAAGGTGTGTCAAACTATTTTTTCATGTTACTAAGACTTTCTCTATGTGTGTTCTTGACTCATGGTGATGTTACCATGAATCTTTAAACTCCTAAAGTTTTTAATCAAAGGTACTTTGATTAAAAGAAGTTATTATGAATGTTGTTGCAATCTCTTTGAGAAATGACATGACAGCAGCATCTTTGAGGTTTTTTCCCTTTCCTAGTCAGAAAGGGAAATATGGCAGTAAGAGGGAGCAATAGAGCACGTTTCTCTGAGTGCACATACCTTGTTGTAAAGGACAACCATTCAGCACTCAAGGGGTTTAAATCTATGAAAGAGGATAATATTTTTCAAAATAATGCTATTCTGCATTTCTACAAGTATGATGCTGTGTAGCCCTATTCCATATATAAGGCAATTTTACAAATAAATTCTTGCTTGCTCTTTTTCTGTAGCTGTAGCATAAAGTTGTAATCTTTATTCTTCTCCCTCTGTTTCTCTCAGCCTGTAACACTCTGGACAGGAAAACAGGTTTTCAGCCTCATTCTCAAACCCAGTGATGATTGTCCTGTAAAAGCCAACCTACGAACAAAGGGCAAACAGTATTGTGGCAAAGGGGAGGACCTGTGTTACAACGATTCTTGTGAGTGAGACTTCTAAAGCCATGTTTTAGAAGTCTTCAAAGAAATCATGGAAATGATTGAGCTTACTGTAGGCACTGAAGCAGTACTTTAATAAGTGTTCTTGAAATGAAAAATAAAATCTTGTGGGTTTTCTCGAGAGTTGAAGTCATGCTAAACATGTTTTCTTAAACTAAAATGTCTTTTGTATGATGCTCAGCTTGTCACGATGCTAACTTAGTGTTTGAAGATGAGAGAGAGGAAAGCAAAGCTTAGGAAGTGGTTGTTCAGAGGGCAAATGGAAAAATTTAGCCTCTTGGATTAGAAGTCAAACACTGAAAAGAGTTAGACTATGCAGGGAGGATAAATCCCTAGGATATCAAGCCATTCATGCCCTTCCAGTTAGGGACGTCAGTGGCAGGTGCAAAGCACCATGGCTGAAAAGGCTTTAGGAGATGAGCAAGACTTTGCTCAGAATTAATTTAATTTCTTAATTAATTAGTTAATTAATTCATATGGTGACTGTCGGAAAGGAACTTGAGCAGGCAGGGCTAGGCTGGTTCCTTGCTGCTCACAAGTGTAAGTTGGGGAACCATTGATTTACACGAATTCTGTCATGCAATGTTGCCTCAAGAATTTCCCAGCTAGCACTCAAGTCCTCTACAGATGACTGAGTGATTTCTGTAGATTAACATTCTGTGCTATGATGTTGGTTGTAAACATAGTGGAACAATTTTTTTCAGCCTCTAAATATTGTAGGACAATAGGGCACAAAGCAATCCTACTCATACTCCTGTGAACATAAGACATCTTCTTTATTTCACAGGTTATTAATTTTAGAAAATACAGGAAGAGTTTCCATTTTCTGAATTTAACAGGAGCTCATGATGTGGAAAACTTTAGATTTTGTTGTTTGCTGTCTTCAGTTCTCTGAAAAAAAAATCATTTCTGAAGACATAGTAATTCTCTTCAGAAAGTTCTCTGCAAATTCTCAAAAGTCTCATGAAAACCTGGTATCATGTTTTGATTTGATATAATAAGTGATAGAGCAGTGACTTGTGCTTCAAGAAAATGATACCTAAATTCACCACATTGAAGATACTGAGCATGGACAGAACTTTCATTTAAAAATTCTCTCCATAAGTGATTACTAGTAGTTAGTGAATGTTTTAGAAAACTGTTGAATTCTTTTTGCCTTTTCATTTTTAGATGTCACAATTCAAAACAGTGAATTAATGAGTGGCAGTATGGACAAAGGAACACTGGGGTCAGGATCCAAGAACAACATCTTCTACATCTTGCTGAGAGACTGGGGCCAGGTGGAAGCTGCAGATGCCATGTCACGTCTGGCCAGACTTGCTCCAGTCTATCTTTGTAAGTACATTTCCTTTTAAAATAGTACTTTAATGCAGAAATAGAGAGTAAGCAAGATTTTTGCTTAAAATATGGCATGCTGTGCTTTTAAAAAAATAAGCTTGTTTTGAAGCTGGCAGACAGTGAAACAACTTACTGTGGTTATGAAGTGCTTGTAATGGTCACATGATGGAGGGCAAAATTGAAAGTTCCCAATAATATTTCCTGGGTTTAATTTATTTTCTCTATATGAGATTGGACTATCAAACTAATTTATTTTCTTTTTAATAATAGCTAATCGTGGCTTTTCAATTGGAATTGGTGATGTAACCCCTGGGCAGGGCTTGTTAAAAGCTAAGTATGAGCTCCTGAATGCTGGCTATAAGAAATGTGATGAGTATATTGAAGCCCTGAACACTGGCAAGCTACAGCAGCAGCCTGGTTGTACTGCAGAAGAGACACTGGAGGTAAAATTTTTAATTTAATTCACTATCCATTTGGCGTAGAGGCTTCACAAATATATTCTTTTACAATGCAAAGTCTAAAGTCATGTGAAACCTAAAAATATGAGCAAATACATAATATGTAGCTCGAGCTAAGTCTGTATAGACTTAACATGTTTGTATGCATGTAAAAATGTTAACTAAATACAAAACAACTGAAATCCTTCAGGATGTATTGGGGTGATACAAGAGAATAGAATTACACAGGTAATTGGAATGAAGTTGATTACATTGATCAAGATTTTTTTGTTTATCTTCCATGTAGCACAGTGTGACTTAGAGCTTAGTGCAATGCTCAGTTTAGCTGGTGATTTTGATGCTGATCAGAGAATGCCATGGCCCTGGATACCACTGTCTTATCCCAACAAAGACATTTTCTTCAGCAAACTGAAAGTTAGGAAGCTGAAATTTAAAATTGTTTTACCTAAAGCAACAACTGGGTTCCTCTGTCTTTACTGCGTTTTCAGTTCCCTTTGTCTACTGAAGGTGTTGCTGGGAGTGATAAAGAGTTCTGTTTGTGTAAGTGATTTTTAGCAAATTCTGAACCTCTGACATACTGTATTTCAGGCCTTAATCCTTAAAGAACTGTCTGTTATCAGAGATCATGCTGGCAGTGCCTGTCTCAGAGAACTGGACAAGAGCAACAGTCCCCTGATCATGGCTCTCTGTGGTTCTAAAGGTAGGGACAGCTGAACTTGGCCTGTGGGTTGCTCACTCCTTCATTTATGTGAAACTTAGTTGTTCCATCTTTATAGCTTGTGTTATACTGTCCATTGTGCTAGTTCATGTCATAGCTGTTTTAAGTGGCTCAGTAAATTCAGGTTGGGTATAGTTAGTTAAAATCAAGCTGATGTTTTGATATTCTTGTGTCTTAATGTTTAGTACAAGTTGCAAAACATCTTGTTGGAATTTTGGATGTTCTTAGGACTTGAACTGATTAATCAGTTAGAAGTTTTCAGTTGTGTTTCTACTTCAAGTATTTATATCATACAGAAAAATCAACTGTAAATGATACATTCAGAATTGGACCTACCATTTCCTAGAATCGTGGAATTATTTGGAAGGGACTTTAAAGATCATCTAGTTCCAGCCCCCCTGCCATGGGTTGGGACGCCTTCTGGGACACCAGCCCAGGATGGGACATACACAGCTTCTCTGAGCAGCCTGTTCCAGTACCTCACCACTCTCATAATAAAGAATTTTTTCCTGATGTCTAATCTAAAGCTGTCCTGTGACAGTTTAAATTCATTCCCCCTGTTCTATCACTACATGCCCTTGTGTAAAGTCCCTCTCTGTCTTTCTTGTAGCCCTTCTTTAGTTACTGGAAGGTGCTATAAGGTCTGTCAAATTCTTGTGAGCTTTCATTTGTTTCCTTTAAGAATTTGAAGAAATCACTTTTGCCTTTTTTAGCTGTCTAATAAATTGTGGAAAGCCTTATGGTGACATGTTGTGTTCTAAAGAAATACTGAAATCTAAGACGAAGCACATAATTTTTGTGGGGGTGATGGGGAGGCATTGTTTGCAAACATATTCAGCAAATAAAACTTCTGAGTTAGTGACTTAATTCTCTGGGACTTAATTTCTTCTAGGAGTCCTGGTAGACACTGAACCCTTTATGAAAACTATTGTTGCAGTATGTTTATTGAAGAAATTGTGAAGCAAAATATGTAGGTTAGGATCACGAGCTGTGTAAAACACAATCCCTAATACAGCACAGGATAATATAAGGACTGGGAACAAATAATGACATGAATGTCTATGACCCAAAGGAAAAGAAAATGAAAAGTTGTTGGCTGTATCATAACTTAATTACCAGCCTTTGCATGAATGCTGAAATGACCAGGATGAGTAACAGAAAATCTTCTCTAACTCTTGCAGTTGTGTTTTGTTGAGCAGTTATAAGGCTAAATAATTGACCTTCATAGAAGTGAAGATAGCTCATCAGGGAAGCAGTATATTCCTCATTTTTGAGTGAGGGGCTTTCTTTTCCTGTCTGTCATTGCAGGCTCCTTCATTAACATATCCCAGATGATTGCCTGTGTAGGGCAGCAGGCTATCAGTGGGTCCCGTGTTCCTGATGGATTTGAGAACAGGTCCTTACCTCACTTTGAGAAGCATTCTAAGGTAATTCTGGACGTTTACAACAGACTGTGAAGGAATATGAAACGAGTTTCCTTCACCCATTTTGAGAAGAAGGCATGATAAAATGTGTTGTCATGATATGCTGAAGGAAAAGGATCATATATGGTCAATGTAAAATGTTTTGTGTGATTTGGGAGTTGACAACAGTGTTCTGAACTGCTGTAGGATGTCTAGTTAGCTTGACTTTTTACAGCTAAGCCTTGCTTTGACCTTTCTAATTTAGTAAAATTAAAGTGACGTGATGATACGTTTTTGGTTCTCTTGAGTATCCTAAAAATAATTTGTTAAAGTTTCTAACTGGTGTTATATTTGACTGCACTAATACTTTCCAGGAAAACTGCTGAATGTGTCTTGGTTATAAACAGGTGAGATATGCCAGATAAACCATTCTGTTTTTTCTGTTTTTCTACCAGGCTAGGTACCATGTGTTACTCTGTGTTTCATGTCTCAGTTTGGTCCTACATGAAGCAATAATTACTCTCGTGCACTTGTTAATATAATTCAGTGAGATGAATTTCTTTTAAGGTGCTATTTGAAATCTAATGAACACTAGCAAAGGTTCTAGGTATAAGCCCATAGTCTAGTTAGTTTGTTAGCTGTGTCAGATGGTAGCTGTGACACTTGCATACATGACTAAATGTCCAAACTTAAACTTTTGAGTTGTGTAGCACACTGAATAAGTAGAAAAAGAAACAATACATAATGGTTTAGATGAGAAGATAAAATTTAGCTCTAGCTTTTTTTCTGATTTAGAAAGCATTACCTGTTAAATAACAACAAAAAGTGAGTTTTGACTTGAAGGGATGCCATTGGCATGAACTTTCCTCAGGGGTGAGGGCAAACCATTCCGAAAAATTAGTTACATACATATCTCCAGTCATATTTTTCTTGGAATCCTTAGTCTTCAGCAAATACCTTTGCACTACTATAGCAAAATGAACATTCTTAATTGCATTTTCAATTTTTGCAAGTTTAACAGAAGTGTTGGTGTAGTGTTGGGAAGGAATAGCTGGAGGTGTGACAATGTTTGTAGGAGGAAGTGGAAACTCTGTTAAAATTAGTTTGGAAGAACTAAGCAAGGGTTTCTGAAACTTTTATTCAGATCTAAAATACAAATATGGAACTTGAGAGCAAAGCAGAGCTGAGATCATTGTCCTGTGTTGCTGGGGGTATTGGCTAACTTTCAGAAGGAATTTTGATGATGTGTACCATGTCCTTCTGTAACACAGAGGTTGTACATTGCATTTGAACTGTGTTTTTCCCACTCTTCCCTGCAGCTCCCTGCAGCAAAAGGCTTTGTTGCGAACAGCTTCTATTCTGGATTGACTCCCACTGAATTTTTTTTCCACACGATGGCTGGTCGAGAAGGTCTGGTTGATACAGCTGTAAAAACAGCTGAAACTGGGTATATGCAGGTAACTGTCAGCAGAGTGAGAGTTTTATCAGTCTTGAAAGATGTGGATATTTCTCTTGTGCATGTCGAGGTGACAGGTCAGGAAGAAGAGCAAGCATTGTGTGTTTTCAATGTAACAGAGTAATTTGTGTGTGAAATACATGGCTTGATCTGTTCTCCAGGAGGTGTGGAGTTTGTAAATGAGACCTCAGCCAATGGTACAATAACATGCTTCTGTTGTTTCCTGTTGAATATGGGTTGTAAAAATCCTTGTTCTGTGCAATTGTTGAGGACTACTTTCTGTGTGTTCCTAGTGTGTTCTGTGAGTGGTAACAGAAATGCAGCTAAAGCTCCCTTTCAGTGTCTGTTCTCTCTAGGTAAAGAGGCACCTTGGCCATATAGACTTAGACTGATTCTGTAAGATTTTGGTGTCTTTGGCTGTAAATAAATGTCCCTCCAACAAAGCTTCTTGCTGTTATGTGCAGTCGTAAGATTTCTGTTCCATCATTTAAGTTGTATTTAACTTATAGCCCTCTTCCCAGTGTAAAAGACAGTAGAAAAGCCACGATAATTTGGGGCTGGGAACACATTCCAAGATATACAAGTAACAAAGTACAGGAAAAACCCTACCTTTTGGTGGGTGACCAATTAGACCATTTGTCTCCAAAACTAATGGAATAATCTTGGAATGTGTGCAAGTATTTACAGATATGTATAGAATAAGCAACCCGCAAAATATTTTTCCTCTTCAGCTTTCTTCCTATATCAATGAATTGTAGCACCTGGATTTTGAATTTTTTTTTTTTTTTAAATCTTAACATTTATTTTGTCTTACCTTTCTCTCACTAGTGAGAAAAAACCAGCAATTTATAGTCTCGTTTAGGTGATGTAATTTGTTTTAATGGAACAATGAAGTCCATCTTTCAAGTAAAAATGGTTTTAACCTAAAAAAAAATGTTTTGTAGCATGCTTTCTCTTTGGGAAGGAATATGGTAATTAAGGGATTTCCCAATATAAGGAGTTAATGTAGGAGAAGCAGATAACCCAGATAGAAAAATGGCTTTGGCAAGTGGCCTCTTTGGTTTTTCTTAGTGCATTGAGTGGTTCTTCTTTCATATACAAAAAGTATTGTATCCCTTGAGAAATAAATCTACTTGGAAGAATATGAGTGTTATGTCAAAAAAAAAAAAACCCAAGCCCAAATAAATCCCTCGAACTACAATAGGTTTTTGCAGCTTACCATTAGGTCATTAGGTTTTTTGTACAGTGGAATTCTAAATATGGAATATTGTGGTGTTGTGTGAAATTTTGTTGATTTTTATGTTCTGTGTAATGTGCAGTATAGCCTGAGGGGTAATACATGATTTTAAATAGGTTTTCATGCCTGCTCATCACTGTGTCAAATTTATTTCCTGAGTCCAGTTTCTATACCTCTTGTATTGTAAATCAAGAGCTATGTTTAAAAAGATCCATTTTACTTTCCTTGTACTTTTTTTTCCTTTTCAGAGACGTCTGGTAAAATCCCTTGAAGATCTTTGCTCACAGTATGATTTAACAGTCAGAAGTTCTACTGGTGACATTATACAGTTTATTTATGGAGGAGATGGCTTGGATCCTGCAGCTATGGAAGGGAAGGATGAACCACTGGAATTCAAGCGAGTTCTAGACAATATCAGGGTAAATATTGCTGAAATCTTTTTGTAAGTATGAAAATACTGCTAAACATGGAGAACAAAGTAGTAAATGATGGGGAAGATTGCTTCTCTGGAAATGTTTCTTTTCAATTTGCCTTTTTTGAAGGGTCCTGATCAGTGTTTCAGCATGTGTATTCTAAGAGTAATAGATTTTTATTTCCAGTGGAAAAGAGTAATTTGTGTACAGAGACCAAACTCTGTATAAGCTGTGAAAAGTAAAATTTCTTTCTGCTCTTGAATATAATTTTAGGGTCTAATTATCTAGTGAGTCTAACTCACTAGATAAATTACTACTGGCTTGTTTGGGTACTAGTTTGGTACATTGCACAGATTAATTCTGTTAAATCAAGACATGGATGTTCCTTGAGTTGAACTGGCGGGTGGATGTTCAATAATATTGTGATGTTTGAAGACTTGTATTGTTCAGTTTTGGTTTTCTGGTTGGTTGGTGTGTCATGACTCCTTTCCCTCGGAGAAAAGCCTTTTGCTGAAATAACTGTTTTAGATTTCTGTAATATGAGTGTAATAAATGGGTAGAACTAGAAATGTCTGGGTGTATACCTTCAGATTGCAGAAATAAGTAGCAGTGGATGTGGTCCTTCTTTTTACCATAGTCTAATACAGTATAGTAAACCAAAACCAACCAAAACCAAGCCCCATTAAACAAACTACAAAAGGACACAACCAGAAATAAAGATGCTGCTACTCAGTTTTACATATCTGTGTTCTGTGTCTCGGCAATGGAGTTTTGGTGCATGTGCTGTGTGTGAAGTTGTGTTTTTTTCCTGTGAAGGCTGTCTATCCATGCCGAAGTGAACCAGCCCTTAGCAAAAATGAATTGGTGTTAACATCTGAGTCTATCATGAAGAAGAATGAATTTCTTTGCTGCCAAGACAGTTTTCTGCAGGTAATTATCTCACTTCCTTATCACACTGTGATTAACCTTTCCTTATGAATTAAGGACAGGACTTTAGCCTGTCTGGAGACTACTTACATGGCTTTTAAGGGTGAGTGAAGCTTCACATGACTGCTTGCACACTGAATTGTAAAATTCAATTTGTTTGAAAGAGCACTGGGCAATTTCAATATTTATGAGAGCAGCCACTCTCAAGACTTCCTTGACAATCACTGATCAAAATTGTAGAATTAACCTGCCTGTAGAATTAACCTTACCTCCATATAAAGCTGTTACCTTAATGAACTTTCTGATTACTGGCATTGATGAGAACAAGATGAATTTAATGACCTGTGCTTGAAGGCCTTCTCTTTAATAGATCAGAATGTTTTGGAGCACAAGGTGAACCTGAATTGCACTTCCTATGATAGAGTTGAGTTGAAAAAATAGTTACATCCGTATTTGAAATATATTGTAAATCTTAAATGCAAGTCTGAAGGAAAAGAAACCAAATAATTTAATATCAGAGTTTGGGGATAAGCTGTTATTTGAAGTATACATCTTTTAAATCGTATCATGAAAGTTTAAATAGTTAGTAATTTCAGAAGCACAGATATGGCTATATAACCTTAGTGATAATTAGCTTAAGATTATTAAGTTTTAGATAGTCACTTTTTCTTCTTTCCTTTTTTTCTGTCCATCCTTGAAGACATTAACTGAGACAGGTTATGAAAAATATAATGAGGTAATCTTAGCATGTGTGTGCACTGTGTGAGCATTAATGTTAGTGCTTTTTAGCTAAAGATGTGTGTATAGTGCTGATGTAATTGATTAGCATATATACATTACTGCTTGTTAAATTATGACATAGGTGTTCATTACGATTATTTAACTTTCTTAATGTGAAAACTGTGACATGTTAATTAATACCCGTTGCTAGACTGAAGGATTTTGAGGAAGCTTTCTTTCAGTACTTGACACTTCTTTCTAAAAGTCATTCTTTCAGTCTCTAGGAATGAGCATCTTTTTCTGGTGTTTTTCTTTCCCTTCCTCCACTTTTCCTTTCCAGAACAGAGATGCTTTCTAGTGCTGTTATTTTAGCAGGAGGTTCCTATAATGGGCTTATCCACTCCAGTCCAGAACTCAGGATGTGTAAATAGCCTTGTCCAAGCAGGCAGCATTCTTTCTTCTGCACTCTGCCCTTGCTGGAGGGAATTCAGCTGATGAGAAAGCAGATTGCTGGCTGGCACAGTTAATTATGTTAATGTTTTAACATATTTGAGCATACTAAGGTACAGGTGAAGGGAATTTTTTTTTTCCTGATTGGAATTGGGGAAATTCTTAAAAACCCTCAGAATTTAAAAATAGTCAATCATTTTTCTGTGCTGTTTTTGAGATGATGGAATAGGAGTGCTGGGAATGTGGTGCAGACACAGGAAAAGCTCAGCACACAGCCAGTCAGTGCTGCCATATACAGAGTTGGCCTGCTGGGTCTGCCTGAACTGGAGCAGATTTTGGCTGAATCTCCTGGCATTGTCTGTGCCACTGTGCATTCCAGTGGCTTCTTCTCTGCAAGGATTGCAATGCAAGCAGTGCTGCTGGTGTGTACATGATCTCACTGACCTGGCTGCTGGGACACCTGATGCAAACCCTGGGACAGCGTGGTCTGCACCCTGGGCTGCCCTTTTGGCTGAACAGCAGTTCTGTAGGAGCTGACAAGGCCCGTGTTGAGCCACATCTTACTGAGCTGTTTGGTGCCTTTTTCTTAATCTGCTCCAGACTAAGACTTCTTGGATTTAGAAGCTGTGAAAAAAATCAGTTTTATGAGTCCACTCTGTGAGTTACATAGCTGTGCTCATAGAGTACAGTGTTGCACTAACAATTAAAAATCCAGAGAGAGAGGCTCAGCAAAGAGTGAGCTACATTTTCATTCCATTTGTAGCAAAAATTAATTCATAGTTTGGATAAACTGCCAATACCTGCTTTCAGATACCTGAAAGCTGAGCAGAATAAGTAATTTCCTCTTTTACTACTTCTGCATGAATAAAAATTTGACAACGAAAAATAAGTCTTCAGAGAATTATCTTCCACCTTTTCTGACTCTGGTGTATGGAAATAACATAATTTGAGCACCTTATTCAGAATTGTATATAATAATTGGTTTATTGTGTTGGAGTTGTTTGAATTCTTTTAAGTACTTTGGAACTCTGGCACTGCCAAAGAGGAAAAGTCTTCTGCAAGTCCTGCAACGTTCCTTTTTTATACACCTATAGTGAAAAGATTAACTTCTCTAATACCATATTATTGCCTAAACATTATTTTAGGAAGTAAATGACATTATCAATTTTTTGCAAGTATTTTGGGGTCAAAAGCCTTTAAAATGTCCAAATATATTATTTGTAATAATGCTACTTACTGCAGGGCAAAAAAGAGGGGCAAAAACATAAGAATGCATCCAGTCATCCGAGTGGGGAAACAACTTTGAAGCATCTGTTCCAGCAGCGCTTCTATTGTCCGTTCTTTCTTTTGAACTTGGTTCTGGTATTCACAGAAAATAACCTACTCTCTGGAAATACATTGAATGCCAGTAAGAATGATGTTATTTTGAGAGTGAGAATTCTGTTAGAATGTAATAGAAGTGTTTTCATAATGATTCTATGAACTCAGCTGTGAAAAGAAGAAGAAAAGGCAGTCTCTCACATACTTAGTCAATTTTGTAAGTTTTGTAAGCAAGCTGACTGTGGTGGTTACAAGGAGTCCAGGACCCAGTGCAGAAGAGGTGATACTGTGTAACCATCACTGTTTGGCAGGTAGGACTAAGGGGCCAGAAAGGGTTTAAAAGGACTCTAAAAAAATCGAAGTATTTGTTTCTCTATGGAGGCTTTCCTAAATAATGGTTGAAATAGATAAGAAGGATTTCCTCTCGCTTTTTGTTTGTATTTTTGTTTTGATAACCTTGTATTATGGTAATAACTTGCACCAAGGCCACGTTTGTGGAAGAGTTTAATCACAGATTTCATGTTTCATGACTTCCAGTGTATATGTCTATATCCAAAGTGTAGTGAACAAATGAGCTTTTATAGAATAGATGTTGGATAACTTTCTAACAGTGTTGTTTCAGTTTATGTTCCAGTAAAGACTATTAGAACTTCTTTTGGGTAAGCCTGGTAAGAGAGTGAAAGGTCTATGTACTATGATGTGTTAAATGCAATTATCTACAAGACCTTTCCACACCATAGAGAAGTTATTTGGATTACATTAGGTAAAGACTGACATGTATATAATAGTTTTGAGACTTTTTCTCACAAATAAAATGCATCTCAAATCTCTGAAATTTATCTTGCAGATAAACATCATATACTTTCTTTCTTGCCACAGTCTTTCCATTTTGACTGCTTTGAATACTGAAAAATGAGTGAGAATGTATTTGTGTCAGTATCGCCAAAAAATAAGAATTTTGTGTTGGGAGTTTTTTGAGTTTTTAAATCAGTTTCAGTAAGTGGTGGGTAGGAAAGAAGTATCAACCCAAGTCAGGTATCTTCACTATTCAGTGTGTGCTCAGGAAGGATGCTTTTATTCAGCATGAACCACAGTCCTCATGTACTACTGATTTGTGGCTACACAAAAGTGGATCTGGTTTGCTAAACTCTAATGTATGTGTTTGTCTAAATTTTGATGTTCTCTTTTCATATTGTGCATTATTAATTTATTGTAAATATCTGGAGCTTTAAGTTAAAAACTTATTGTTGAAGACTTCAATATGAAGACCATGTCTTTTCTTACTGTGGTTTTAATGTGATTTCAGGAAATTAAAAAATTCATCAAAGGTGTTTCTGAGAAGATAAAAAAAACTAGGGACAAGTATGGAATTAATGACAATGGCACAACAGAGGTAAATAGTTTCAGTGGGGTAATGGTGTAATTCTTTTCAATCTTCATAAGCTGTTGCTTTTCCAACTATTCCATTCTCTTTTCAGCCAAGAGTTTTATATCAGTTGGATCGGATTACTCCAACACAACTAGAGAAGTTTCTAGAGACTTGTAGAGACAAATACATGAGGTGAGTGTTTACCCTGCTGTGTTCTCAGTGCTGCTGTTTTGTTGGTAATGCTATTTTTACTGTATGAATGTTGATTCTGTTGTGAATGCAGTACAAAGAATTAGAAACAATTAGCTCCAATGACATAAACTTTGCAAGACAAAGGTAGGATGCAAAAAAAAAAAAAAAAGGCATCACTGTCTACAGGTGGGCTTGTTAAGGCAGAGTTGAGTCTTCTCCAAAAGTTCTAGTGGTCTGACAGGGGAGGTTTTTTACATTTGTCTTGAGTAAAAATCAGATCCTTTCATTAACAGACTTCGGTATCGTTTTACATTGTAAAAAAATGCTTTATGTTTATATTTCTTGAACGTGCAAAGCTATCTGCTTGTATTTAAGCACTTTCCTTCTGAAGTAATAGTAATCATACCAACAAGCACAGTTTTAGCCTCTAGTTGTTCATTACTTACATACACAGACTGTGTTTTGACAGCAGATTTTGGTAAAAGCCAAAAGTGGTAGGAGTCAGAGTAAGGGAGGATATTGTTTAAACACTTCACATTCTTACACCCACTGCCAGACATGTTTCCTTCCTCCCCCTCTTGCAGGAGGTTTTTGAAACCCTTCACTAAGTCCATGCAGAACAAAGTCTAAATAGATAAGTTTCAAATTCATAGGAATCTTGGTAACTCTTCTTGAGCTACACAGTCTGAGGAGTTATATCACACTTTGTTCTAAAATGTTCTTTGATCTGTTATGCACTCATAGGATCTTTTTGTTTGTTTTTCTTGGTTTCTACCAAGATAATGTTAGTGTGGCTGTTCTAATTTCTTTATACATTGAGATTTGTTTCCATTACTTAGATTATTTTAATTTCTTATTTTAATTTATTTGGACGTTCACATGCTGCCATGGGTGATCTCTCCTTTGTGGCCTACCTGCATCAATTCTTTCCTAAAGGTTTATTCTTCTAGAAAATTCATGTATATGTTAAGTTCCTAACTATTTTAAAGCAATTACCAGTTCTTTGCTTTCCCTTATTAGAAGTACTTGTTTACATTTAAGTGTTTTTAGACATGAATTACCATTTTTACTGTAATAAGTAAATGTTAGCATATGGGATTTCCCTGAAGGGAGAATCCTGGATCTAGTGCTTCATGCTTAGAAGGAAGAGGACAAGCATTTTGTAATCTATCATGGAAGTTATACTGCATCTGTGGAATGCTTATATGACAGGGCATCTTCTTGCTTTGCATGAGATCAGTCTTAAAATATGGGTGACCTTTCAACCTCTCTTTTGTTTGTTTACTAAAATGTTATATTAAGAAATTTCTCATATATCTACCAGAATAGTTTCTGTTGTTTGCTTAGGATCGTATACCTTATTCAGTTCCATATCTCTTTCTATATTTTTTTATCAGGGCACAGATGGAGCCTGGTTCTGCAGTAGGAGCTCTTTGTGCACAGAGTATTGGTGAGCCTGGCACACAGATGACTCTGAAGACTTTCCATTTTGCTGGTGTTGCTTCAATGAACATTACTTTGGGTGTGCCAAGAATCAAAGAAATCATTAATGCATCAAAGGCTATTAGGTACTAACATTGTTTTGATTTGTTTGGGTTTTTTTTTCTTTGGCCAAGTGAAACCTGATGGATAAATTTGCAATACATGATAGCATTTCCCTGTGCTCAGCAATACACTAGACATCATTCAATGCAAATACTCAAACAAGAAAAATCTGATTTCTGCCCAACTGTGATACTTAAGCCCAGAGAGAAAATCAAATAAAAGAAAGTTATTTATTAAGTATAATATTTCCTTAGATGTCACATCCACTGTGAAGTGCTCTGGTGCTCAGCAGTACTTGAAGCATACGTATTTCTAGGTATGCATGAAGCCATGCTTAAATGATGTTAGAATAAAATATGCCATGAAAACAGTCATTAGTACTTCTGTGTTGGCTTGATTTTACCAGCCTCAAGTACCTGAACAGTCATTTTTCTGAAATACACCTGAGGAAGCTGAAGGTCTCTTTATCTTACTAAATACTGCTCTAGATGAGAGATAAATTCCATAAGGCAGGCTGTAATTCAAGTTGCCATCTGTACTCTAGCTGAGCAATTTCCTAGCTGGGTTTTTGTGTGTGTGTGTGTTTATTCTTGTAGCACCCCTATTATAACAGCACAGTTGGACACAGATGATGATCCTGATTTTGCACGTCTGGTTAAAGGAAGAATTGAGAAAACTTTGTTAGGAGAGGTAAGAAAATTGTATTATTGCTAATGCTTGAAATGTAAGCATTACCCAATTGCCATGGGGCATTTTTGCATGCTAACTGTTTTGTCCTTGTCTCTTAAAGATTTCTGAATATATTGAGGAAGTGTTTCTTCCAGATGACTGTTTCATCCTAGTGAAGCTGTCTTTAGAGCGCATTAGGCTACTGAGATTAGAGGTGAGTTGTTCAGTTTTTACACAGATTATACCTTGGATGCATTACAAAGGGTCTCTTAATCCTGTGTCACTAATCACACCAGGGGAAGCTATAAAAGAGGAAGTGAATGATGGATGTGTGGCTGCTTTACGTCTTGAAGGGTACCTGTTTCTTTTCCTTGCCAAGTGGATAATTTCCCCTTTATTTGTGTCTTGCTAAACACAGGGATGCCGTTTCTGTCCATTGGTTAATGTATAGGCTGGTATCCTCAGCATAGGATACTATTTCATGCAATTTATAAAACTAATTTAAAAGAGAATATGTGGGGATTTTTTTCCTACAGTTTTACTTTTTATAATCTGTTGAAGGATTGCTCCATATATTTGAGCACGTTGACATCTGCTGTGATAAACCCTGACGTTTGCTGGTTGCTTTTTGCCTCAGGTGAATGCAGAGACTGTGCGCTACTCGATTTGCATCTCTAAACTCAGAGTGAAGCCTGGGGATGTTGCTGTCCATGGAGAAGCAGTTGTATGTGTGACCCCTCGTGAAAATAGCAAAAGTTCCATGTATTATGTATTGCAGTCCCTCAAGGAAGAACTACCAAAGGTAAAAGCAAAGGCTGTCTCATGATTTTGTGGGAGGTAATCAGTAGTAATAATTTGTTCCGTGGTGGCAAAATGAAATAATTCTTGTCAGTATTGACAGTGAAGACAGGCTGGGTCAGTAATTCTTAGATTGTGGCGGTGCTGCTGTGCTGTTGAAACTAAGCCATCCTTTACTAATATTTGTAAATAAAGTGGAAGCTTTGATATTTCCCTTACAACATTTACTGAAACATTCCAAGTGCAGCAGTTGTATGAAATAGTTACATCTGCTTCCAGCTGCATCTAGAATTGAACAACATGACAGTATCTGGCATTTTTTTCAGCTTTCTGTGAGGGGACTGTCTATTCTGGATTTTAAAAACAGAGATAAGTGAACCTTTATTGTTAGCAGCTTGCCCTTTTATTTGTATAGGTCTGCCACCATTCAGACACCCAAACTCGACTATGGGAATATCTGATGTAAAATATAAAGTATAGATAGTGAGTAAGGTTTATAGTACCATGTCAGTGTCAGTGTTGCAGTAGTATATTTAAGAGCAAGAAATCTTATTCATCTATGGTTTTGACTGAGCCTTTACTCCACATGCTAGACCTCCTCAATAGGTTTGAATGCTGGTAAGTGTTACCCTTTAATACTGTGGTACTGTGTACATCAAAGTTACTAAGGGTTTTTCTGTTTTGTGAAGGTTGTAGTGCAAGGCATACCAGAGGTTTCCAGAGCTGTCATTCATGTTGATGAACAAAGTGGAAAGGAAAAATACAAACTTCTGGTTGAAGGTGATAATCTACGAGCTGTTATGGCTACTCATGGAGTGAAAGGAACAAAAACATCCTCTAACAACACTTATGAGGTAATGTCTAAATGGGTGCTGTGGGGTTTTCCCATAGCATCTTTATTACAAGCGTTTGTGCTCAGATGCAGCAGCTGATATGGAATGAAGCCTGATTTCACTAATACGTGTCAGAATGCATTAACACAAGAGAGTAATTCACTGGCAGCACTGTTCACTTCAAAGAAGCTGTTTCTATAAATATTTTTCAAATGGAGAAGTTTAAAAGAGTAGTTGTAGAAATGGAATATCAATGTGCTATCAGATGGTATTTATTCCAGGAATATATTTGCTCCAGGCACTTGGTTCTTCATTCATGTGACATGCAACAATCACATAACAATCTCTTGTGTAGGTAGAGAAAACTCTGGGAATTGAAGCTGCTCGGACGACCATTATCAATGAGATTCAATATACAATGGTGAACCATGGCATGAGCATTGACAGGAGACATGTTATGTTACTGTCTGATCTAATGACTTACAAGGTCTGTACTATGTTTTTTCTAAATGTTACATTGGCCTGTTAATGCAAATTAATTTTATCATGTGTGAGAAGGGTGGGTGAGCTCAGGAGATGGAAATTCATTCTGGGCTTAAAGAATTCAAAGTTGTACTGGCCTAATACTGCTATTTGTATTTTACACAAAATGCTTAATTACTTAGTTCTTTGGGGGATGGGAAATCTATTTTGACTGAAAACAAGTTGATATAATGAGTAGAGAATGATAATGTCCTATTGAAATTAGGACTCCTAAGAATGATGGTGTGAAAAACAACTCTTTGGGTAGCCATGCATGCAGTTCAAGGCTTGCTGTGCAGAAAACCCCATGGGGAGTGGTTTGTAACAGCTGCACCGTATGTGAGAGGCAAAGGATACAGACATCACACATAGCATCAGCTGACATGAACAGTCTTACACAACGTGCTATTACAAAATCATATCTGCTCTTTACTGATTGATTTTCTTTCCTTCACATTCAATACGGTTTTTAGAGTTGAGTACACTTAGTGAAGGCAGATTTTGCAATTTGCCTGCCAGAGCGCAAGGGTTTAATTTGGGTTAAATGGATGGAGTTCTGATTTGTTCCAAAACTGCAGAGCTTTGTTGTTCTGAGCTGCAGCAGTCCCCAGGGCTGACCTTGTGAAGCTGCAGCACAGCAGTAGAAAAGGGCATCAGAGTGCCATGTTTTAAACTTGGTGGGTTCCTACCATGCATGCTTTTGCCTGTACTTCTGACTTAGGCTTCTATGTGCAATCTGGTATAATCAGAATATTTCTAACAAACATAGGCACAAACAAGTCAACTTTTTTTTGGAGAGTGAAAAAGTGAAGATTTAGTGTCTTCTGTAATCTCCTGGCAGCTGAGGTCAGATTTTTCTGTAGATAATAGGCAGTAGATTCAGCATCGTGCTCTCAGACCTTGCTGAAATTGGTAGCTCAGCAGCCAGTTTATAATTGTGGGGGTTTTTCTCATGGCTACTCTTCAATTTTTTCAATACTCAGTGTCTATTCAATATTCAAGATCTATTAACTATTTTCAGCAGCTTATGTTGTATATAAAGAATGACTTTTGTTTTATGTAAATATTGATTACAACCAAACTATTAACCTTCAGAATGTTCAACTGTGAATCACTGTATTATGACAATACTATATTGTAGATAGGATATTTATTTACTCGAGCTTACTCTTTGGGTTTTTCCATCAATCAAGGGTGAAGTGCTGGGCATTACCAGGTTTGGACTGGCAAAAATGAAGGAAAGTGTGTTGATGCTGGCTTCTTTTGAAAAGACTGCAGACCATCTCTTTGATGCTGCCTACTTTGGACAGAAGGATTCTGTTTGTGGTAGGTATTGCAAAGTCTGTTCCAGTTTGTGTTCCTTACCCAGCATCTGTAAAACCTCTTCAAAGCATTGGAGGTTTATCTTTGTTAAGCTTCCTGTTCAACTGGTATGTCAAAAACTTCAGGTCTGAGGCTAATTCATCCCAGAAGTCCTAGAAGTTTGTTGGATGTTTCTCTAGTTCTAATCTCTGACTGAGATTTTGCAGTCAGTTGGATATTTGTTGGATGTTTCTTAAAGCAGACTTTGAGCAATTTGGTTTTACTTCTCACTCTAGATCTCAGTGAAATACTGGGAAATTTGTCCCACTATCAATGGTTTTGTTTTTTCAACTGTGAATGTTTGTGTATCTTCAACACCTAGAGTTGTTGAATAAATCTAGTACCTCACTTGGTATTTAGGTTTCATTTTCATTCCTGCTAAGAAGTAGCAAAACAGGTTCATCTCAGCCTAGCTGAAGATGATGCTCTTACCTGATTGCTTAGGCACTTCTACCTAGAAATAAACAGAGAGGCCAAGTTCTTCACTTCTTCATTTAGATCTAATCTAAATAGATGAAACTGTGGGTCTTTGTTTTTTAATTAGAAGTCTTGTTTATCAGTATTCAGTTCGTTAACAGCAGACAAGATAGCTGTTGTCAGAAATTTCTTTTTAAATGTTTCTGTTCCTGAGTTTTAAGTACTTTAGAGCCACTGAATCATCTTAGTGAGTTCATGAAAGAATCTGGTATTTTGAAAATACATGGCTACATATGCACAAGTGTATGCATGTCTACATACAGACAGCAAATAGGAAACTCAGTAAATGATTTCTGGCATTCTGTTTGTCTCTTTATTTTGCGTTTTTGCCATGTGCTCTAATATTTGGAATTGAAATAATTTTGGGTTTTTTAAATGCTTTTGCCCCCATTCGTTTCAGATTTTCTTCTCCTTTAAACTACATACATTTTGGGACTGAATTGTTTAAAAGTCAGTCTAATAGGTTAAATGGAGAAAAGAAGTAAAGCAGATTTCGCCCTTTTCAAGATCTGTTTGTGCATTGCCTACCTTCCTGGAGCTGGACTTTCATTGGGAGATTCTGAGTGCTAATGAAATATAGAAATATGCATGTGTTATGTTAAAGTTAACTAGTTTGTGCGTATGTCTAGGTAGTTTTGATTAGCCTGTTTCAAACAGTGCTTTTTGCACAGTATTTTCTGAATCTTCATTAATTTACATTCAAGTTGTGAATCAAGTCAGAATTTTAAGCAAATTTATTTTGTCCCTTGTGCATTCAAAGGTACAGCTATTTGTTGTTGCCTTCTTAAACATTTTTGTGAAGGACAATCTAGTTACACTCCTGAGAATGGGCAAAAATGTCATTTAGATCATAACAGCATGCTGAGAGAGAAACACTGGTATCTGAGAGCTTGATTTGAGTGTGGAACATTCTTTGGAAAAGTGCACATTGGTAGATCTGGAATATAAATGTATCAGCACATTGCAGTGAAAATGTTACAACCATCAAAAGTCATTGCGACAGACTCAATCTTTCACTTCAAAACAAGCACTTTTTGAGAGGTGAAAATGCCAGGAGCAGTATAGCTCAAGTAGTTCTGTGCCTTTCTCACTGGGAACTTGGGGAGGTTTCAAGGGAACCCTGCCAGGTTTGACTGAAGCCTTAGCACTGAGTCAGAGAATGAACATGAAGTAAATTTGCCTCTTATCTTCTGCTATAGGCGTGGAATGTGTCTTCTCTAAAAACAAACCTTCTGAAGGGCTTTCATTACTGGAGAAGATGCTTAGGTTAGGTTGAGTTTTTCCTGTAGAATTTTACACTGTTAAAGTAATATACTGATCTGATGGCCATAACATTTAATTTTGTCCAGTGAAGAGGCCTTGGTACTTACATGTGAAGTTCAGCATTTTGTAGGCAACACAAAACAGATCGGGCAAGTTAAAGTCATTTTGTAAATCCTTACTGTTCAAATGATCATTGTGTTGGTTTGGTTTTTTCCTAGGTGTTTCTGAGTGCATCATCATGGGAATTCCAATGAATATTGGAACAGGACTCTTTAAACTCTTACACAAAGCAGACAAGGAATCAACCCCTCCCAGGCGGCCTCTGATATTTGATCATAATGAATTTCATATACCCATTGTTACATAGAACTTGGATGTAAAACAAGATAGCAAACCAAGAAATAGTAAGCAAACATAATATAAATTAAACAAATTATTATGTATTATTGGTTCTATGTGTCTCAATAGAAGTGAATTGGTAAGTGAAATAATATCAAAAGAATTGCCCAATTGTTCACCACCTGTGGTTAGTACAGACCCTGAAAGGAGAGAGTTCACCAGAGAGTGGAAACAAATTTAAAGTAGATTTCACCTGATAACATTTTCTTTTTTATGTGATAGTGTTAGCTTTTTCTGTTACTGTTAATGGGTGCAAGCTGTTATTAACTCGGTATTTATTACACGTGTATTCAGATTTGATTAAAAACAAAAAGAAAATTTCAAGAGAATTCTGTGAGTTCGCCCAGAGTGCTTTTGGAAATGTCCTTTCAACAGGAGCTGCAAAGGTCAGTCTACAGCTGTTGAGAACAGGAACTTCAGAAAGCTGGAACTAAGTCTGTGATTAATTCATGAGTTCAGGAGTGCTGTTCAAAGTGTTTGAAATATTTGCTCTTTGCTTTTGGTACTTTTAATTGGTTTTTATTTATCCCAAGTTATCCAGTTAATTATTTTCCTCTCCAGGATTCTGTTTTGGGACCATATCTACAAGAAATACATTGTGGTTGCTACTAAATTATGAGAAGACTGTTGTTAGAATATTGGCAATTATAGATAGCTTTTCATATGACAGCAACTGTCTAACTGCTGGAATCAGTAACTTAGAGCAGTCTTAGGTTTGGGAAGGTTTCCTAATTGAGCAGGATCATCTGAGCAACCTACTTTGAATTTATTATGTAAAGTAGAAATTGAAGGGGATGCTGTTTTTATGCATTGCCGTGAAATAACTTGGAAGCATCTTCTGCTTTAGTCCACTAAAGCAGTTTTCAGAATGAATATAGATCTCAAATAATTTCAGTTTAGTGTGTTTAAATTTATTGTGGTGCCATGGAGGGAAAGTACTTTAATGTTTAGTCACCAGTGTTTGGATACTCAGTGTGCCATGACATGGGTCAAGGCTGGAGAGAAATGAAGTAGAGAGAATCTGAAGTTATGCCCTCATGAAGTAAAACCAGGCTGCTGAGTATCCTAGCATTTGAAAATGAACAAGTTTGTGCTGCCTTTTGTCTTTATGCCCACCAAAAGTGTAAGGCTACATTCAGAGACTGTAAATCTATTGGTTTAAATCTTAAGGTACCACTGTGTCTGTTTTTTAATTCATCCTCCATGCAGACAAGATCTGATACGAAATTCAACATAGCTATTCTCAAACTATTTTGTATTTTCAGTGTGATGCTAAAATCTACATCTGCCTAGATTTTGGCAGGGTGAAGATGGAGAATGTAGTGCATTTATTATCTGCTCTAAAAGCTACATATATTTTGCTATCTCTGTTTTAGCAATGGAAATTTCAGAATAAATTAAAGTTTTCTTTTGTGATCTCAGTGAGATTGCCACTTACTCATTTGTCTATTTCCTTTATAAGATGTAAATTTAATAGGGTAGGGACTTCATAGAGAGAAGGTCCATAAACCTTTCCTGTGGTAAGTACTTGCTTTATCATGGGAAATTCTACTGACAGTGCTTGACATTTTTGTGAATAAAGATTCTTCTCAAGGTCTAAATGGGTGGAGTTTGTATTGGAACAAATAACCACATCTTTCTTTTTTCCTTTTTTTGGTTGGTTGGTTTTGGTTTGGGTTTTATTGTTTGGCTGGTTTGGGAGGGTTTTTTGGTTGGTTTTGTTTTTTTGTAAATATAGAAAAATGAGCTATTTAAATGGTGGGTTCAGTCTCTTGTATGTTCTAAAATTAAGAATAAAATTACATCTTTTATCATTGTCTTAAATATGACAATAAAAAGAGGCAAAGAGTGTGTGAACCTTGTCTTTATTTATGGGTGTATTATATGGTGCATAATTATGGATGAGCTAACATCCATTTCTTTTATTTGCTTAGTAAGACAGTAGAGGATTATTAAGCTTAAATCTCAGGTATTTGCAACCTAAATGAATAAGTAAATAAAATCTATCATGTGTGAAGTCACTGTGTCTTGTCCTCAGAGCATGCTCTGAGCCTCATGAGTGTTTCAACCAAAAATAGATTGTTTACAAGAGCACTCTGAATTCGTAATTATTGTTTGAGCTCTCTGTACAGTCAGTAAACAAATTAGCTGTTGGATTTCACTTGTAATCAGTTTTTTTTAGTGTCAGTTTTACCAGTCAAGAAAGGGAACTTTGGAATATTAAAATTTTCATTTTTATTAAAATTTTTAGCTTTAGTTTGGGTTTAATTTTTTTAAGTAAGTACGATTTTTCACATTTTCCCCTATTTTCTAAATAATGTGCTAATTGAAATTAGTGGAGTGTAAATTCTCAAGATATATCCATCATATATCAAGATATATTTTGAATATCCATATCCTGCTTTCTCATCTTCATTTTTTCCATCATTTTAAAACAAATTTAAGCTTCTCATTAAATGAAGTACTTTCATGGTGTCTTTATTGGGAAACTACTTCACACAGGTCTCTTATCTGCAGAGAGAGAAGAAAACAGCTGCACATGCTCTATAGGTTTCCTGTTACAACTATGGAAAGTTGGAAGTAAATCCAGAATTGTCCTGCTTTGGTCCATAACTTGAAGAAATTTAGTACAGAGGAGATATTCCCTTATTTGCTTATCTATGCTTAAAGAAAAGGAAAGCATATAAATGCTGTGTTTTATAAATAAACTACAAGTAGGATAAAATTTGGCTATTTCAGGACAAATATTCCTTGATGTCTGACCATTTGTCACTGTTTCAATAGAAGTTGAAGGAACCACTGCAACAGGAATTCCTCAATTTTGTATCACTGTGCTTGTAGACAGGAATGTCTTTAGAAACCCATAGCAAACAGGACACAGATTTTCATAGTATTTGCCTAAATTATTCTGTGCAGGTAACTAATGTCTTTGGAGTGGTTGGCTAAGCTTTGTATTCAGACCTAGGAAAGTCTGTTGATAATTAAATATGTTGGGGGGAAAAAAAAGAAAATAAGAAAAATTGGCATATTACTGTATTGTCTAAGAACAGAAAAACTGAAAGGGACTAAAAAACTGAAAATTACAAGATATGTTAATTTTAACTTGACAGGTTATTTGGATGTGATTATGCTAGTGATACAAATGCCTAGCAAGTTTATCTTGAAGAATGAGTACCAGAATCTCACAGGCCAGTCTGAAAGACTCAGAAAACAAACCAGCCCTGCTACTTTTGTGTTTCAGTGCTTGTGAAAATGAATCGAACTTTCTTCTAACTGATAAAATGAAAATTTTATAACATTCCTTCTCATGGAATTAGATCGCATTGTCATTTTCCACTAGAGAGCAGCATTTTATTTTGACAGAAGAGTTATTGGGTAGCTTCTTTATTTTTCTCTATTAAAAATGGGAGTTTTTGCAATATCAGGACTGAAATGTAACTATGAGAGGAAAAGCTAGCTGTTAAACTGATGTACATGAGGAAGGAGATAAAGGGACTGTATTTTCTTGAGGAGAAAGCAGAATCCATATATGCTTTTTATTAATTAGTAGAATTTTCACATGCGTATCTTGTGTCTATCTGGCTTTAAAAGCAAGCAAACCAAAAGCAGTACTTTAGTAAAGGCTGTGGTCATTTCTAAAAGCATGTTGTGAGTTGCTCCTGGAAAGTGATGGAGCAGTGAATGTGCAGTGAGTGGGGACATGTCTTTTGTCATTTTCCAGGCAGCCGAGATTGTTCCAATCTGCATTCAGTCTCCAGCGAGCGCTGAAATCCAGCTCTGGGAGCTGCTCTGAAGCGTGAACTTCTGGCAGCTGGCTCAGGAGTGTCTCACATCCTTCAGCTGCTGCAGAACTCCACAGCAAGGCTGCATTGAAAACATTGGAGGTGATGCTGATCGATGCAAGAGACCAGTGGTTAGGACTGAAAATAATATGAAACAGGTGCTCTTCTCTGTGTATAGACAGCTGAAACCAGTGAGATTTATGAAAGATGACTTCCACTTGAATGTCAGAAAACTACCAGGGTGCCTGTAGTTTGTTAGTTCCTGTCAGATTTGTGACTCGATTCACAGTGGTGAGAACCTGGCATTGGCTGGCTGTGCTGAGGGGTTCTGTGGGCCTTGAGCTGCTCTGACACTGCATTGCCTTAACCACCACCATTACTTGTGAGCATCAGAGGGTAAATGGTGTTTCCTTATCCAAAGAGTCTGTCCTGTGAGTCCAAGCCTTCAGGATCAGGAATAATTGCATGCTCCTTTTGGAAGCAAGGACAGTAGATAGAACTGATGCTGTACAGGAATATGGTGGTTTCTGCAGGTGTTGAGGATAGAGGGAAGAAAGCTGAAAAGACAGGAAATGCAGAAATAAGCAAATGTGTATGGAAGCAGAGTAGAAATTCAGATCTGCTTGGGGAAGAAATAGAGATGGCAGCTGGGTAAAGTGACACACACATATTCATAATCTCTTTAAGGAGTCCTACTGAAGTAATGTAAATAGCTGGGAAAAGGATAGGTATTCACTCATTCCTGAGAACTAAGATTTTGTCATTTGTCCTGTGGATTGCTCTTAGTAGCTGTGACAAATGATAGTTAAATCATCATTCATTTTGTAGATCACTGTTAATAATGAGCAGTAACTGAATTAATTCCTTCAGGTATTGTAGCTGTTTAGTTGTAAAGCTCTTTCAACCAACTGTGCATAATTACAGCTGCTGAACTACAGTGATTGCTACTGTTGAGGGCAAAAACTGCTGTTCCTGATGGGTTCTGGTGCAGCTCATGTGGAAGATTGTAGCTATAATTAGCAGGCAAATAGGAATCTTTTAAAATGTGTTGATACCTGCAGTTAGATCAGAAATATTCCTAGAAAATCCTTAGCTGAGGTGTTTTTAATAATGTGTAAGTAGTGCTACTGGGACAAGAGACAGAAATTACATCCATTACATTCCTTTCCTTGTGTCTCTTCTTAGAAGAGAGGTGACACCTATGAAGATTTTTCACCTATGAAGAGCAGACAGGTAATTCAAGGAAGTCTGTGAAGGAAAGCTATTGTATGTAGGTTTTTTTTGTTGTTGCTGTTAATCATAGCACTGTGGTGGCAGACATTCATTGCAAACTCTCTTCAATTTTATGTTGGTTTCACAATCTTACTCCATGGGTAAAAGAGGACATGCAGGTACCTCTCTCATTGTGGCTTTCAGGCTCCATAGAAAGCTGGAGTACCCCTCAAGATTTCATACCAAGTTCTTTCTCCTCCATGATAGAGGTGTTTTGTCAGGTGGGGACAGTTTTGGCCAGAA